CGCCAAGCCGCCGTTGCTCGTCCTTGTCCGGGCGAGACGCCTTCAAGGCCAGGGCGACGGCGCACGCTTCATCCGCACACGTGTTCATGGCCCAGAAAAGGCTTGTACGTGTAGAGGACAAGTATATATATGGAAAAAACCCACGCAGCTGCGGCAAGCACGCAGGCGTTTGTGGCACACAACTTGGAGTTCGTGTTCACAAGTACAAGCCTCACAGTACAAAAGATGCATGCGGCGCAAGTGTCCTGTGTGCAATCCAACGGCTGCGCGCAGGGCAAGTGTACAAAAAGGCAGAGAACTGTTGCACCCAAGTTTGTACCTCTGTGACAGCTTGTACTTTGCAGCTCTTGCTTGCTTTGCGGCCTGTGACAAAAACAGTGTCTGGGCTTTCTAAACTTTGGGCCGTGGTTCCTATATACAATGGGTGTGCGTCGCAAAATCTCTGACAATTTTCTCAAGCTCTCACACTTCAGGGCTTCGCAGCCACACATCCTCCCGCCACGCTGCGCATATAAACAACACGAGAGAAACACAAATAATGGCGCGCTTGCTGCGCTGTTCTATGCAAAAACAAGTGGTGCAACAAGGTGTTTATATGCATTTGCGTGATTTAGACTCGCAGTTTAGACGCGCTATTTAGACTACAAATTTAGACTCGGCGCAGCTTTGTAGTCTAAATTTCCGCGAGGCTATTTTTAGACTCAAAGGATCTTTCAGGTAGCGCTCGTCTAGCGCCCGTCCAATGCTCGTCTGTGCTCGTCGAGTGCTCCGTCGAGTGCTCCGTCTAGTGCGCTTTGTCTAGCGCTCGTCTAGTGCTCGTCTAGCGCTCGTCCAGTGCTCGTCTAGCGCTCCGTCTAGTGCGCTCTTCTCTGCCCGGAAATTGTCCAGAAATTTCCGCGGGTGGCTCGTGCTCTCCCCATTCCGGCGCTCGTCCCGTGCTCATCTAGCGCTTGTCTAGCGCTCGTCCGGTGCTCGTCTGGTGCTCTGTCTAGTGCTCTGTCTAGCGCCGTCAGACGAGCGCTCGTGCTCTGTCTAGTGCTCGTCCAGCGCCCGTCTAGTGCTCCGTCTAGTGCTTGTCTAGCGTTCGTCTAGTGCTCGTCTTAGTGCTAGACGGAGCACTAGACGAGGACGAGCACTAGACAGAGCGCTAGACGAGCGCTGGACGAGCGCTAGACAAGCGCTGGACGAGCGCGGGACGAGCGCCGGAATGGGGAGAGAGCGAGCCACCCCGGAAATTTCTGGAAAATGTCCGGGCATAGAAGAGCACTAGACAGAGAACCAGACGAGCGCTGGACGCTGCACGAGCGCTAGACGAGCACTGGACGAGCACTAAACGAGCACTAGACAGGCACTAAGAGGAGCACTAGACGAGCGCTGGACGAGCGCTAGACGGGCACTAGACGAGCGCTAGACGAGCGCTAGACGAGAACTAGACACTAGACAGTGCACAAGACGAGCGCTAGACGGGCGCTAGACGAGCACTAGACAAGCACTAGACGGAGCGCTAGACGAGCGCTGGACGAGCACTAGACGAGCACTAGACGAGCGCTAGACGAGCGCTACATAGAGCACTAGACGAGCGCTAAGCAGAACACTAGATGCGCACTGGACGAGCGCTAGACGAGTACTAGACACTAGACAGAGCACTAGACGAGCGCTGGACGAGCACACTAGACGAGCACGAGATGAGCGCTGGACGAGCGCTAGACAAGCGCTAGACGAGCACTGGACGAGCGCCGGAATGGGGAGAGCGCGACCCACCGCGGAAATTTCTGGAAATTTTCCATGCATAGAAGGGCACTAGACAGAGCACCAGACGAGCGCTGGACGAGCGCTAGACGACCACTAGACGAGCGCTCGGCGAGCACTAGACGAGCGCCAGACGGGCGCTGGACGAGCGCCAGACGACGGAGCACTAGACGAGAACTAGACGAGCGCTAGACGATCACTAGCGCTGGACGAGCGCTGGACGAGCGCTCGACAAGCGCTAGACGGAGCACTAGACGAGCGCTGGACGAGCACTAGACGAGCACTAGATGAGCGCGAGACAAGCGCCAGACAAGCACCAGATGAGTGCTAGACGAGCGCTAGACGAGCACTAGACGAGCACTAGACAAGCCCTGGACGAGCGCTGGACGAGCGCTGGACGAGCCGAGCACTAGACTAGACAAGCATTGGACGAGCGCTGGACGGCGCGCACTAGACGAGCACGAGACGCGCGCTAGACGAGCGCTAGACGAGTGCTGGACGAGCGCTAGACGAGCACTGGACGAGCGCTGTACGAGCGCTAGACGAGCGCTGGGCGAGCGCTAGACAAGCGCCGCACGAGCACTAGACAAGCGCCGCACGAGCGCTAGACGAGCGCTGGACGAGCGCTAGACGAGCACTGGACGAGCGCTGCACGAGCGCTAGACGAGCACTGGGCGAGCGCTAGACAAGCGCCGCACGAGCACTAGACGAGAACTGGACGAGCGCTAGACAAGCGCCGCACGAGCACTAGACGAGCGCTGGACGAGCACTAGACGAGAACTAGACACTAGACAGAGCACTAGTCGAGCACTAGACGGGCACTAGGCGAGCACTAGACGAGCACTAGACAGAGCGCTAGACGAGCACTAGACGAGCGCTAGACGGAGCACTAGACGAGCACTGGACGAGCACGAGACGAGCGGTGGACGAGCGCCAGAATAGGGAGAGCGCGAGCCACCCCCGGAAAATTCCGGAAAAAATCCGGGGATAGAAAAGCGCTCGGAGCACTAGACGAGAGCTCGACGAGCGCTGGACAGAACACTAGCTAGACGAGCGCTGGGCGAGCCGAGCACTAGACGAGCGCCAGAAGCCACCCCCGGAAATTTCTGGAACATTTCCGGGGATACAAGAGCATTAGACGGGCGCTGGACGGAGCACTAGACGAGCGCTAGATGGAGAACCAGACGAGCGCTGGACGAGCGCTTTACGGGCAGTAGACGAGCGCAAGACGAGCTGTAGACGAGGACTGGACGAGCGCTAGACAAGCGCTAGACGAGCACTAGACAAGCGCTAGACAGAGCACCAGACGAGCACTGGACGAGCGCTAGACAAGCGCTAGACGAGCACGGGAACGAGCGCCAGACAAGCGCTAGACGAGGACGGGACGAGCGCCGGAATGGGGAGAGCACGAGCCACCCCCGGAAATTTCTGGAAAATTTCCGGGCACAGAAGAGCGCTAGACAGAGCACTAGACGGAGCACAAGACGAGCACTGGACGAGCGCTAGACGAGCGCTAGACGAGCGCTAGATGAGCGCTAGACAAAGCTCTAGACGAGCACTAGACGGAGCACTTGACGGAGCACTAGACGAGCACAGACGAGCACAGACGAGCGTTGAAGGCTTCTCATAATGCTTTTTCTCAAGGCTCCACAAGGCTCCTTCGAGGTCTTATTGCAAAGCTCCCTATAAAGCTCCTTCTGAAGATTTTTTCTAGCATTTGGAGCTCCAAATCACAAATTCTTTACATTTGAGCCAAGGTTGAGCCAAAATGTGTCATTTTCCATATAAACTGTAGCAACGGCTCCAAAATGTCGCTTTTGGAGCTCCAAATGCAAAATGTGTCCTGAATCCTAAACCTAAAAACCATAAACCTAAATCCTGAACCTAAATCCTAGACCTAAATCCGTGACCTCGTTCCTGAACCCAAATCACACACCCAAATCCTAAACCTTAAAAGGCACCCCGCCAGCAGGAACCCTAAAAGACCCGCCAGCAAGAACCCTAAACGGCGCCCCGCCAGCAGGAACCCGAAAAGACATCCCCCCAGCAGGAGCCCTAAAAGGAATCCCGCCAGCAGGAACGCTAAAAGGCGCCAGCAGGAACCGTAAAAGACATCCCGGCGGCAGGAACCCTAAAAGCGAAAAAACCAAAGCCAAAAGCCAAAACCAAAAGCCAAAATCCAAATCCAAAAGCCAAAGCCTAAATCCTAAACCAAAACCCTAAGCCTAAATCCTAAACCTAATTCCTAAACCTAAGTCTTAAACCTAAATCCTAGACGTTAAAGCCCGAATCCTAAACCTAAAAACCCTAAGCCTAAATCCTAAACCTAAACCCTAAACCTAAAAAACCTTCTATAAACCGTAAAACCTCAAAACCCTAAACCCAAACCCCAAACCTAATTCCTAAACCTAACAATCTTCCTAAAAACCCTAAGCCTAAAAACCCTAAACCTAAAAACCCTAAATCCTAAACCTAAAGCCTAAACCTAAATCCCAGACCGAAATCCGTGACCCCCCAAAAAGAGGAAAAGCAACCTGAGAACGCCAAAAGCAGGAAAAGCAACCAACAAGGTCTGGAAGCCGCTTGCCATAATAGAAATCTTCTCTGGCACATCGAACTCTTCGGAAGGAATTCCTAGCCTGCAGGAGTCGTGGACACCGTTGAGCAGCGCCGAAGCGCGGGGTGCTTGGTGTTTGGGAGAGGCGGCCCGGGATTCTGCGGCTTTGGGCCCAGGACATTAGAGATGCTCTGGGGAACTTGAGCTCATTCTTCCAGGCGCTGGTCGGATTCGACGTCTTTGCCTCTTTGCGAGGGTGCGTGGCCGTTGAGCCGCGAGTCAAGTTGCACGGGACCATGTGTTCTCCAGGGCTGCTGCACGCCTCAGCCTGCAGGGCTCTCGGACACGTAGGGGTTGCGAGTTGCGCGTAGATGCGAGACGGTGCTCGCGCGCAAGATGGTGACACGCAAGGCGACATCAGGCGACATGACAATTTTGAGTTTTATGGAGTGTTTTGCTACGTGCTGGTCTGCTTTTCAATATTTACATGATTGCTTTCCACCCCGAGGACGAGTCTTTTGAACTGACGGAGGTCAGGTGAGGCCTTGCGCGGTGCAACACCGCAACGCTGAGTTGATTGCAGAACAAAGGCTGTGTGCGCGCTTTCACGGTGTTTGCCTGTTCAAAAACACTTCCAAGGGCCGTACATTGTTTTGGACGCAATCCTGTGCTCCTCATGCAATGAATTTCGGTTATGAACGGAATCATCCAAGCCCCGGCCGAACTCTGGCCGGGGCAAATGCGAAATGCCATCCTGGACCCAGGCACCGCGCGGCTGTTTCACTGGGAGCTTTGTGTTTCGAGCTCCGGACAATCCGACCTTGAAGCCGCTTGTGTGAGAGATGGGTCAGCTACTTGCTCTAGCTCGCGCCCCAAGCACCGCGGGGCGGTTTCCAAGCGAGCCGATCAAAAGGAGAGTCTTAGACGGAGTTGGGGTTGGGTTTCACAGAGATCGCATGGGCGGCTGGGCCACGTGTGTGATCGCAAAGCCCACAGGGTGCGTGGAAGGCAATCCTTTGTCGAGCAAATCTCGAGCAGTGCTGGGCAGTGGTTAGGGCGCCTGGTCATGCGTGCCGGAGTCCAAGGCAGCACGCGGATTGAATACGACTGTTGGCAGCACACGCATGGGCTATCTAAAGGGATATCCTTGGAAGTGGAGTAGTTGCCATGGAACTCTGTGCAAATGTGTTTGGACTGTTCGTCTCAAGCCGCTGAGGTCTCAATGGCTCAAAGCGGCCTGGCAGTTGAGAAGGAGCGATCGATGCAACTAAGTTAATCCACCGTGCTCGAGTTACTTTGGATATGCTCCTCACGTTTTGGGCATGTGGCTTCGATTCGCTCGGGGCTCGCGGGAGGCGCCGATGAAGGGACCAAGCAGCGAGCTGCTGGAGCTGCTGGACGCCATGTCCAAGGCAGCTACCGAAACTCGGGCGATGCAACCGGCCGGCCGGCCTTGCCTGCGCAGGTGCGCATGGCGCGCCACATCTTGGCCTTGGTGGGCAAAAAGGCGCCGGCATTTTGTGGATGCTGGTCGCCTGGGTGCTTGATCTGGTAGCGAAACGGGTTGCAAGGAAACATTTTCCGGGGCCCTTTCCCAAACTCCGCCATAAGGCGAAGAGACCAATGCAGAGTTCCCCTCATTCCCGGTGAAGTCCCTTCACACTTTCACCATACCTTTTTGCTGCAAATCACTGCGGTGACGTTTTCAGAGGACACATAAGACACCTTATGTTGCCCATGCCGTGCTTTTTCTTTGCTTCTGATATTGCTCAGGGTACTAGTAGCTGGGAGGAGGGGGAGGGGGAGGTGCAATGGAGGACGAGGTAGGTTAGGTGGAAGGAAGGAGGAAAGAGGGAGGCAGGAGGGAGGGAAGGGACGTTTAGTCCTTGGCTGCTCAGGATTTCAAGGACGATGTGGAAGAGGTGCAGCAGGTTATGGCTGCCAGGACCGACGGTTACCTTTGGCCGCGCAGGGCTGACATGTGGCTTGGCGGAGATGCGCTCACCTCACGCCGCAAGCCTGCAGTGGGTTGCGGAGCCGCAAGGAGGTCTCGTGAGGCTCTTGCCTCTACAGCAACACCATCCCCAAGAGTCGGGCCGTTGCCCTGTGCACGACTCAGCGTCACTGTTGGCGCCAGTGCCACGGAAATTCTTGATGTTTGGTGGATTTGAGCATGACACGGACTTGGGACATTGGGGCTCATTGCTTTAGATGAGAACTGACTGGCCATGTGAGGTCTCTTGGGTCAACAGCGCGTCGGCGGGCTCGACCACAAAAGTGGCCCAGAGTGCCCCATCGCTGAGTGCGTACGGCTCCCAAGCTGGTCATGTCGCTGTTGCGAGAGAGATGCAATCTGTGGGCATGGTCAACAATGACACGAATCTCATCGTAGTCGGCCACAACATAAAGCCATTACGTCGAGACAACGTCAGGGTGTTTTGTGGGTGTGATTTTAGTCATAAAATCTGCCAAGTAAGCCGTGTTTGGGGTGAACGACCACGAGGTTGAACTAACATGGTAGTTGAGGATGAACATAGACCGAACACAATGCGCCCAGACAGATTATGTATCATTGCATTGATCTCATGTTATGTGCCTACGCCTCACCGTGGATGAACAAGTTGAAGGCACAACAGCCATGTACCATGATACTAGTGCAAAAGTTCATCAAAAGTCGGCTCTGCAAGCGCTAGCCTTGCAGACGGCCCCTCTTTCAGAGTGGGAACTCGGATAGATTGGACACTGCTGTAAACTAGGGTTATTGTTGGCCACTAGTATAAAGGGATGAACATCATATCATACCGTCATACCAACAAGGGCCGTCGAACGCTGCATGTTTTTCAAGCCTCAAATGACCCGAGGCCGACAGCAGCAAGCGCCGGAAGCGAGGCACCAACCCGACACGTTCACATACACAGAACACAGGCACAGCGCTTAATCCACGCAGTCCTGGGCTACAACAAAAGCTTTCAAGGCCACATTTTGTTTAAAACATGACGATTCGATGCATAGACCGATGCGGCCTGTCAGGCAATCGTCGCCAGAGGGGCGGCCGCCGCTAGGCATAGGTAGCCGTTTGCTACCGCGTTTCAGCAGCGCCCAAAACCTCTCAGTGGATGTTTTAGTGTTGGTTTAATTTGGATTTGTAGAAAGGCCAATAGATGTAATTATGCAAACCTTTGCAGTCATCTTGGTGGAGCGTCAGTAGGTTTTTGGCGCTGCTCGTTTGAAGCCGCGCGACCGCCTCGCCGGCCCTGACGGTCGTCTGACGCAAAAGATGTGAGTTTGGCAAAAACTTCAAAGGCCCCAGTTATAAAGTTAGCTGTTTCTAGTTTCAAGGGCGATTTGTCGACATGTTGGTCCAAGCCAGCCGCCGCCAACAAATTCGCAATTCAGCGGTTCGAAGTCTCCCGCAAGTCCCGCAGAAGCAGCGACCATTGCTTCCGGGCAACCGCCGCCGCAAAGGGCAGGTGCCTGCGGGTTAGGTAGCCGTTTGCTACCGCGCAGCACCCAAAACCGTTCATTGGCCATTCTAGCAATTAGCTGTACTACATGGGTTCATTTAAATAGCAAAGCCATTATTATAGACCTTGAGCTTTGTTTTGGTAGAGCCAAACGTCAACGGGTTTTGGGCACTGCTTATTTGAGAGCGCTACCACTGCGCTTGCTTGATGAATGTGCCTGATGCAAAAGACGAGCGTTTAGCTTTGGGGCCAAAGACGGTTCTGAATCGCGACCAAAATTGGATGCACTCTGAGGCGATACTCAGTAGGTCGTGGCAACTGGCAGTTGAGGCAGCGATGTGCCCAAGCAACCTTCTTTCAGTTGCATCTTCCCTTAGACTAAAGACAGCCTGTGATTGTGTCAGCTACAGCCCGCAGGGGATCAGAAAGGATAGACTTGGACGCGGACTAGTTTCTGTGGCACTTTGCTTGGCTCTTTGCTCACTGCTGTTCAGAGTTTTGACCGCGCCAGAAAGAGCTATCAGGTGCCGGCGCAAACCTGTTCAGGTTCGGCTGTCGTAATCTGTTGGACTGATGGGTGCTGCTGCTACTTTTCTTGCAGACCGGTTCAGAATCCAAGCAGGTGTTGTTTGCTTCATTTGCCTCGCGGCGTCAGACCGTTGTGGGATGCTTGTTTCTTGGGGGTCGGGTTTCAGTTGAGAGGCTCAAGCCAGCATCTTGTGCGCCCATAACCAACGCATCCTTGCGGTGCAGGAGTCCAAGTCTCGTGTTGGTGTGAACACCAGAACTGTTGGCAGCCCGCGCATGGGCTAAAGGGATGGAAGTGGAGTAGTTTGCGTGGAACTCTGTGGAACATGTTTGGACATCAAAGATCCGCGACGACCGGCATTATGCTTGGCCGTTCCTCTCAAACCGCTGAGGTCTCAATGGCTCAAAGCGGCCTGGCAGATGAGAAGGAGCGATCGATGCCTTTAGAGATGCTCTTCATATTTTTGGGCATGTGGCTTCGATTCTCTCGTGCAACATCGATTGGACGCGGCGCCCGAGCTTGGAGTCGCCTCGCGCCAGGCACCGATGATGGGACCAAGCAGCGAGCTGCTGGAGCTGCTGGATGCTATGTCCAAGGCAGCTTCCGAAACTCGGGCGATGCAACCGGCCGACCTTGCCTGCGCAGGTGCGCATGGCGCGACACATCTTGGCCTTGGTGGGCAAGAAGGAAAGCCAATGCTGCAGAGTTCCCCTCATTCCCGGTGAAGTCACTTCACACTTTCACCATGATTTTTTGTGGCAAATCAGCGCGGTGATGTTTTCAGAGGACACATAAGACACCTTGTCTTGCCCATGCCGTGCTTTTTCTTTGCTTCTGATATTGCTCATGCTCAGGGTACTAGTAGCTGGGAGGAGGGGGAGGCGGAGGCGGAATGGAGGACGAGGAAGGAGGGAGGAAGGAGCGAGGAGGGAGGCGGGAGGGAGGGAGGGAGGGAGGGAGGGAGGGAGGGAGGGAGGCGGGAAGGGACGTTTAGTCCTTGGCTGCCCAGGATTTCAAGGACGAGGTGGAAGAGGTGCAGCAGGCTATGGCTGCCAGGACCGACGGTTGTTAGGCAACCATTTTTTTTGGGGACCGCGCAGGGCTGACATGTAGCTTTGCGGAGATGCGCTCAAGGAGGTCTCGTGAGGCTCTTGCCTCCACAGCAACACCATCCCCAAGAGTCGGGCCGTTGCCCTGTGCACGACTCAGCGTCGTCACTGTTTCGGCCGTTTGAGGACAGTGCACTAAATTGGCGCCAGTGCCACGGATATTTTTGATGTTTTGTGGATTTGAGCGTGACATGGGCTTGGGACATTGGGGCTCGCTGCTCTAGATGAGAACTGACTGGCCATGTGAGGTCTCTTGGGTCGACAGCGCGTCGCCGGGCTCGACCACAAAAGTGGCCCAGAGTGCCCCATCGCTGAGTGCGTACGGCTCCCAAGCTGGTCATGTCGCTGTTGCGAGAGAGATGCAATCTGTGGGCATGGTCAACAATGACACGAATCTCATCGTAGTCGGCCACAACATAAAGCCATTACGTCGAGACAACGTCAGGGTGTTTTGTGGGTGTGATTTTAGTCATAAAATCTGCCAAGTAAGCCGTGTTTGGGGTGAACGACCACGAGGTTGAACTAACATGGTAGTTGAGGATGAACATAGACCGAACCCCAGACAGATTATGTATCATTGCATTGATCTCATGTGAGCCAGCCTCGCAGACGGTCCCTCTTACAGAGTGGGAGCTCGGATAGATTGGACACTGGCACGATCTGGCTCGCTTCCCAACACAAGACCCATTCCCGCTATGTGACAACAATTGCCGCAGAATATATTTGTTGCGTTATTTGGGTTGCCACTAGTTTAAAGGGCTAAACAGCATACCGTGATACCAAGCAGGGCCGTCGAAAGCTGCATTTTTGGACAGCCTCAAATGGCCCGAGGCCGACAGCAGCAAGCGCCGGAAGCGAGGCACCGACACGTCACGTTTACATGTAAATATAAACACAGGCACAGCGCTTAATCCACACAGTCCTGGACTACAGCAATAACTTTCAAGGGCCCAAGATGCAGCCAGCTGCTCCGGGTTTCAAGGGCGTTTTGTCGACATGGTGGTCCAAGCCAGCCGCTAGTCGCCGCCAACAAATCGCAATTCAGCGGTTCGAAGGCTCCCGCAAGTCCCGCAGAAGCAGCGAGCATTGCATCCTGTCAGGCAACCGCCGCCAGAGAGGTGGCCGCCGCCGGCAGGCATAGGTAGCCGTTTGCTACCGCGCAGTGGCGCCCAAAACCGTTCATTGGCCAATTTTAGCAATTAGTTGTTCTACCTGATTTGGATAGCAACGCCAATATTAACCTTGAGAATCATTTTGGTGGAGCCAAAGTTAATGGGGTTTTGGGCGCTGCTTATTTGAGAGCGCTAGCGACTGCGCTTGCTTGATGAATGTGCCTGATGCAAAAGACGCGTCTAGCTTTGGGGCCAAAGAGGGTTCAGGATGCACTATGATGCAACACACAGTAGGTCATGGCAACTGGCAGTTGAGGCAGCGATGTCCCCAATCAACCTTCTCTCAGTTGCATGTTTCCTTAGACTAAAGACAGCCTGTGAATCTGTCAGCTACAGCCCGCAGGGGATCCAAAAGGATAGACTTGGAAGCGGACTAGTTTCTGCGGCTCTTTGCTGGGCTCTTTGCTCACTGCTGTTCAGAGTTTTGACCGAGCCAGAAAGAGCTATCAGGTGCCGGCACAAACTTGTTCAGGTTTGGCTGTTGTAATCAGTTGGACTGATGGCTGCTGCTGCTACTTTTCTTGCAGACCGGTTCAGAATCCAAGCAGGTGTTGTTTGCTTCATTTGCCTAGAGGCTCAAGCCAGCATTTTGTGCCCATAACCAGCGCATCCTTGCGGTGCGGGAGTCCAAGTGTCGTGTTGGCAGCCAGCGCTGGCGTGAACTCCGGAACCGTTGGCAGCCAGCGCATGGGTTATCCAAAGGGATGGAAGTGGAGTTTTTTGCGTGGAACTCTGTGGAACATGTTTGGATGATATGAAAGATTGGCGATGATCGGCATTGTGCTTGGCCGTTCCTCGCAAACCGCTGAGGTCTCAATGGCTCAAAGCGGCCTGGCAGTTGAGAAGGAGCGATCGATGCAACTAAGTTAATCCAGCATGCTCGAGCTGCTGTCACTTTTGATATGCTCCTCCGATTTCTGGGCATGTGGCTTCGATTCGCTCGGGGGAGTTCGATGTGCTCATGTCTTGGAAGCGCTGCGCGCTCGAGTTTGGAGTCACCTCGCGCCAGGCACCGATGATGGGACCAAGCAGCGAGCTGCTGGAGCTGCTGGACACCATGTCCAAGGCAGCTTCCGAAACTCGGGCGATGCAACCGCCCGGCCGACCTTGCCTGCGCAGGTGCGCATGGCGCGCCACATCTTGGCCTTGGTGGGCAAGAAGGCGCCGGCATTTTGTGGATGCTGGTTGCCTGGGTGCTTGAATTGGTAGCAAGGAGGGAGGAAGGAGGGAGGAAGGGGGAGGCAGGAGGGAGGCGGGAAGGGACGTTTCGTCCTTGGCTGCCCAGGATTTCAAGGACGAGGTGGAAGAGGTGCAGCAGGTTATGGCTGCCAGGACTGACCGTTTACCTTCAAGGGCCCGCGGACCGACGGTTACCTTTGGCCGCGCGGGGCTGACATGTGGCTTGGCGGAGATGCGCTCTACACTGCCTGCAACGATCCTTTGGCAGTGGGTTGCGGAGCGCGTTCGCGAGGAGGTCTCGTGAGGCGCTTGCCTCCACAGCAACACCATCTCCAAGAGTCGGGCCGTTGCCCTGCGCAGAACTCAGCGTGGTCGTCGTCGGAGCAAATTGGCAACTTGTTTCCATCGGCGAGCTGTTTCGGCGCATACTTTTTTACAGCCAAAAACAAAGGACCATTGCAAGACACTGCAGTCAAGTCGGCGCCAGTGCCACGGAAAATCTTATGAATCTTGCTGCGAGGAGCGCGCTTGATATTTGTTCCCAGATTTCAGCATGACATGCGCTTGGGTCGTCGGGACTCGTTGCTTCACATGAGAACTGACTGGCCATGTGAGGTCTCTTGGGTCAACAGAGCGTCGGGCTCGACCACAAAAGTGGGCCAGAGTGTCCCATCGCTGAGTGCGTATGGCTCCCAAGCTGGTCATGTCGCTGTTCCGAGAGAGATGCATATGTGGGCATGGTCAACAACAACATGAATGTAATCGTAGTCGGTCCCAACATTAAGCCATTACGTCGAGACCATGTTAGGGTGTTTTGTGGGTGTGATTTGGAGTCATAAGATCTGCCAAGTAAGCCGTGTTTGGGGTGAACGACCACGAGGTTCTAACATGGTAGTTGAGGATGAACACAGACCGAAAACAATGCACCCAGACAGATTATGTATCATTACATTGATCTCATGTTATGTGCCTACGCCTCGCCGTGGATGAGCACGTTGACGGCACAAGAGCCATGTACGATGATGCTAGTGCAAAAGTTCATCAAAAGTCGGCCCTGCCAGCGCCAGCCTTGCAGAGGGTCCCCTCTTACAGAGTGGGAACTCGGACACTGCGGCAAACTAGGGGTATTGTTGCAAAAGCAAAAGTGTGGCAAGATCTGGCTCGCTTTGCGGCACAAGATAGTTTCCCGCTACGTGCCAACAATTGCAGCAGCAACATATGGTGGCTTTTTTTGGATTGCCACTAGTATAGAGGGATGAGCGTCATACCGTCACAACAAGGGCCGTCGAATGCTGTGTGTTTTTGGAAGCCTGCAATGACCCGAGGCCGACAGCAGCAAGCGCCGGAAGCGAGGCACCAGCCCGACACGTTCACATACACAGAACACAGGCACAGCGTTTAATGCACGCAGTCCTGGGCTACAACACAAGCTTTCAAGGCCACATTCTTTGAAACATGACGATTCGATGCATAGACCGTTGCGGCCTGTCAGGCAATCGTCGCCAGAGGGGTGGCCGGCGCCGGCAGGCATAGGTAGCCGTTTGCGACCACGTTTCAGCAGCGCCCAAAACCTCCCATTGGATATTTTAGTGTTGGTTTAATTTGGATTATAGAAAGGCCAATAGATATAATTGACAAACCTTTGCAGTCATCTTGGTGGAGCGTCAGTAGGTTTTTGGCGCTGCTCATTTGAAGCCGCGCGACCGCTGCCGGCCCTGACGGTCGTCTGACGCAAAAGATGTGATTTCGGCAAAAACTTCAAAGGCCCCAATTAGTCAGCTGTTTCTAGTTTCAAGGGCGTTTTGTCGACATGTTGGTCCAAGCCAGCCGCCGCCAACAAATTCGCAATTCAGCGGTTCGAAGTCTCCCGCAGCAGCGTCCCAGGCAACCGCCAGAGAGGTGGCGGGTGCCGGCGGGTATAGGTATAGGTAGCCGTTTGCTACCACGCAGTGGCGCCCAAAACCGTTCATTGGCCAATTCCAGTAGTTAGTTGTACTACCTGATTTTGACAGCAACGCCAATATTAACCTTGAGCATCATCTTGGTGGAGCCAAAGTTAATGGGGTTTTGGGCACTGCTTATTTGAGAACGCTAACGACTGCCTGATGCAAAAGACGCGTCTAGCTTTGGGGGCAAAGAGAATACTCAGTAGGTCATGGCAACTGGCAGTTGAGGCAGCGATGTCCCCAATCAACCTTCTCTCAGTTGCATCTTCCCGTAGACTAAAGACAGCCTTTGATTCAGCAGGGGATCCAAAAGGATAGACTTGGAAGCGGACTAGTTTCTGTGGCTCTTTGCTGGGCTCTCACTGCTGTTCAGAGTTTTGACCGAGCCAGAAAGAGCTACCAGGTGCCGGCACAAACCTGTTCAGGTTTGGTTGTTTGGACTGATGGGTGCTGCTGCTACTTTTCTTGCAGACCGGTTCAGAATCCAAGCAGGTGTTGTTTGCTTCATTTGCCTAGAGGCTCAAGCCAGCATCTTGTGCCCATAACCAACGCATCCTTGCGGTGCGGGAGTCCAAGTGTCGTGTTGGCAGCCAGCGCTGGCGTGAACTCCGGAACTGTTGGCAGCCAGCGCACGGTCTATCCAAAGGGATGGAAGTGCAGTTGTTTCTGTGGAACTCTGTGGAACATGTTTGGATATGAAAGATTGGCGATGATCGGCATTGTGCTTGGCCGTTCCTCTCAAACCGCTGAGGTCTCAATGGCTCAAAGCGGCCTGGCAGTTGAGAAGGAGCGATCGATGCAACTAAGTTAATCCAGCATGCTCGAGCTGCTGTCACTTTTGATATGCTCCTCCGATTTCTGGGCATGTGGCTTCGATTCGCTCGGGGGAGTTCGATGTGCTCATGTCTTGGAAGCGCTGCGCGCTCGAGTTTGGAGTCACCTCGCGCCAGGCACCGATGATGGGACCAAGCAGCGAGCTGCTGGAGCTGCTGGACACCATGTCCAAGGCCGCTTCCGAAACTCGGGCGATGCAACCGGCCGACCTTGCCTGCGCAGGTGCGCATGGCGCGCCACATCTTGGCCTTGGTGGGCAAGAAGGCGCCGGCATTTTGTGGATGCTGGTTGCCAGGGTGCTTGATCTGGTAGCAAGAGGGGTTGCAAGGAAAGATTTTCCGGGGCCCTTTCCCAAACTCCTCCGTAAGGCGAAGAGACCGCAGGAAAACCAATGCTGCAGAGGTTCCCATCATTCCCGGTGAAGTCACTTTAAACTTTCACCATGACTTTTTGTAGCAAATCAGCGTGGTGGTTTTCTTTGCTTCGGATATTGCTCAGGGTACTGTTAGCTGGGAGGAGGGGGAGGGGGAGGCGCAATGGAGGACGAGGAAGGAGGAAGGAGGGAGGAAGGAGGGAAACAGAAGTGAGGAGAGCGGCGGGAAGGGACGTTTAGTCCTTGGCTGCCCAGGATTTCAAGGACGAGGTGGAAGAGGTGCAGCAGGTTATGGCTGCCAGGACCGACGGTTGTTAGGCAACCGTTATTTTTGGGGACCGCAGGGCTGACATGTGGCTTGGCGGAGATGCGCTCACCTCACGCCAAAAGCCTGGAGTGGGTTGCGGAGCCGCAAGGAGGTCTCGTGAGGCTCTTGCCTCCACAGCAACACCATCCCCAAGAGTCGGGCCGTTGCCCTGTGCACGACTCAGCGTCGTCACTGTTGGCGCCAGTGCCACGGAAATTCTTGATGTTTTGTGGATTTGAGCGTGACATGGGCTTGGGACATTGGGGCTCGCTTCTTTAGATGAGAACTGACTGGCCATGTGAGGTCTCTTGGGTCAACAGAGCGTCGGGCTCGACCACAAAAGTGGCCCAGAGTGCCCCATCGCTGAGTGCGCGTGGCTCCCAAGCTGGTCATGTCGCTGTTGCAAAAGAGACGCATATTTGTGGGCATGGTCAACAACGACACGAATCTCATCGTAGTCGGCCCCAACATAAAGCAATTACATGGAGACAACGTCAGGGTAGGTTGTGGGTGTGATTTTAGTCTTAAGATCTGCCAAGAAAGCTGTGTTTGGGGTGAACGACCACGAGGTTGAACTAACATGGTAGTTGAGGATGAACATAGACCGAAAACAATGTGCCCAGACAGATGATGTATCACTACATTGATCTCATGTGAGCCATGTACGATGATGCTAGTGCGAAGTTCATCAAAAGTCGGCTTTGCAAGCGCCAGCCTTGCAGACCGGCCTTTTACAGAGTGGAAGCTCGGATAGATTGGGCACTGGCAAGATCTGGCTCGCTTTCCAACACAAGACCCATTCCGGCTATGTGACAACAATTGCTGCAGCCTTTGGGTTGCCACTAGTTTAAAGGGCTAAGCAGCATACCGTGATACCAACCAGGGCCGTCGAAAGCTGCATTTTTGGACAGCCTCAAATGACCCGAGGCCGACAGCCGCAAGCGCCGGAAGCGAGGCACCGACACGTCACGTTTACATGTAAATATAAACACAGGCACAGCGCTTAATCCACGCAGTCCTGGACTACAGCAATAACTTTCAAGGGCCCAAGATGCGGCCAGCTGCTCCGGGTTCAAGGGCGCTTTGTCGACATGGTGGTCCAAGCCAGCCGCTAGTCGCCGCCAACAAATCGCAATTCAGCGGTTCGAAGGCTCCCGCAAGTCCCGCAGAAGCAGCGAGCATTGCATCCTGTCAGGCAACCGCCGCCAGAGAGGTGGCCGCCGCCGGCAGGCGTAGGTAGCCGTTTGCTACCGCGCAGTGGCGCCCAAAACCGTTCATTGGCCAATTTTAGCAATTGGTTGTTCTACCTGATTTGGATAGCAACGCCAATATTAACCTTGAGCATCATCTTGGTGGAGCCAAAGTTAATGGGGTTTTGGGCGCTGCTTATTTGAGAGCGCTAGCGACTGCGCTTGCTTGATGAATGTGCCTGATGCAAAAGACGTGTCTAGCTTTGGGGCCAAAGAGGGTTCTGGATGCACTATGATGCAATAATCAGTAGGTCGTGGCAACTGGCAGTTGAGGCAGCGATGTCCCCAATCAACCTTCTCTCAGTTGCATTTCCCTTACGCTAAAGACAGCCTGTGAATCTGTCAGCTACAGCCCGCAGGGGATCCAAAAGGATAGACTTGGAAGCGGACTAGTTTCTGCGGCTCTTTGCTGGGCTCTTTGCTCACTGCTGTTCAGAGTTTTTTGACCGAGCCAGAAAGAGCTATCAGGTGCCGGCACAAACCTGTTCAGGTTTGGTTGTTGTAATCTGTTGGACTGATGGGTGCTGCTGCTACTTTTCTTGCAGACCGGTTCAGAATCCAAGCAGGTGTTGTTTGCTTCATTTGCCTAGAGGCTCAAGCCAGCATCTTGTGCCCATAACCAACGCATCCTTGCGGTGCGGGAGTCCAAGTGTCGTGTTGGCAGCCAGCGCTGGCGTGAACTGCGGAACTGTTGGCAGCCAGCGCATGGTCTATCCAAAGGGATGGAAGTGCAGTTGTTTCTGTGGAACTCTGTGGAACATGTTTGGATATGAAAGATTGGCGATGATCGGCATTGTGCTTGGCCGTTCCTCTCACACGGCTGAGGTCTCAATGGCTCAAAGCGGCCTGGCAGTTGAGAAGGAGCGATCGATGCAACTAAGTTAATCCATTGTGCTCGAGTTCCTGTCACTTTTGATATGCTCCTCAGATTTCTGGGCATGTGGCTTCGATTCGCTCGGGGGAGTTCCATGTGCTCATGTCTTGGAAGCGCTGCGCGCTCGAGTTTGGAGTCGCCTCGCGCCAGGCACCGATGATGGGACCAAGCAGCGAGCTGCTGGAACTGCTGGACGCCATGTCCAAGGCAGCTACCGAAACTCGGGCGATGCAACCGGCCGACCTTGCCTGCGCAGGTGCGCATGGCTCGGCACATCTTGGCCATGGTGGGCAAGAAGGCACCCGAATTTTGTGGATGCTGGTTGCCAGGGTGCTTGATCTGGTAGCAAGAGGGGTTGCAAGGAAAGATTTTCCGGGGCTCCTTCCCAAACTCCTCCGCAAGGCGAAGAGACCGCAGGAAAACCAATGCTGCAGAGGTTCCCATCATTCCCGGTGAAGTCACTTTACACTTTCACCTTGTTTTTTTGTAGCAAATCAGCGTGGTGGTTTTGAGAGGACACATAAGGCACCTTATCTTGCCCATGACGTGCTTTTCCTTTGCCTCTGATATTGCTCATGCTCAGGGTACTATTAGCTGGGAGGAGAGGGAGGCGGAGGCGGAATGGAGGACGAGGAAGGAGGGAGAAAGGAGCGAGGAAGGAGGGAGGCAGGAGGGAGGGAGGGAGGGAGGGAGGGAGGGAGGCGGGAAGGGACGTTTAGTCCTTGGCTGCCCAGGATTTCAAGGACGAGGTGGAAGAGGTGCAGCAGGTTATGGCTGCCAGGACCGACGGTTGTTAGGCAACCGTTATTTTTGGGGACCGCGCAGGGCTGACATGTGGCTTGGCGGAGATGCGCTCACCTCACGCCAAAAGCCTGCAGTGGGTTGCGGAGCCGCAAGGAGGTCTCGTGAGGCTCTTGCCTCCACAGCAACACCATCCCCAAGAGTCGGGCCGTTGCCCTGTGCACGACTCAGCGTCGTCACTGTTGGCGCGAGTGCCACGGAAATTCTTGATGTTTTGTGGATTTGAGCGTGACATGACCTTGGGACATTGGGGCTCGCTGCTTTAGATGAGAACTGACTGGCCATGTGAGGTCTCTTGGGTCGACAGCGCGTCGCTGGGCTCGACCACAAAAGTGGCCCAGAGTGCCCCATCGCGGAGTGCGTATGGCTCCCAAGCTGGTCATGTCGCTGTTGCGAAAGAGATGCATATCTGTGGGCATGGTCAACAACTCGAATCTCATCGCAGTCGGCCCCAACATAAAGCCATTACGTCGAGACCATGTTAGGGTGTTCTGTGGGTGTGATTTTGAGTCATAAGATCTGCCAAGTAAGCCGTGTTTGGGGTGAACGACCAGTTGAGGATGAACATAGACCGAAAACAATGCGCCCAGACAGATTATGTATCATTACATTGATCTCATGTGAGCCATGTACGATGATGCTAGTGCGAAGTTCATCAAAAGTCGGCTCTGCAAGTGCCAGCCTTGCAGACGGTCCCTCTTACAGAGTGGGAGCTCGGATAGATTGGACACTGGCAAGATCTGGCTCGCTTCCCAACACAAGACCCATTCCCGCTATGTGACAACAATTGCCGCAGCAACATATTTGTTGCGTTTCTTTGGGTTGCCACTAGTTTAAAGGGCTAAGCAGCATACCGTGATACCAACCAGGGCCGTCGAAAGCTGCATTTTTGGACAGCCTCAAATGACCCGAGGCCGACAGCAGCAAGCGCCGGAAGCGAGGCAACGACACGTCACGTTTACATGTAAATAGAACACAGACACAGCGCTTAATCCACACAGTCCTGGACTACAGCAATAACTTTCAAGGGCCCAAGATGCAGCCAGCTGCTCCGGGTTTCAAGGGCGTTTTGTCGACATGATGGTCCAAGCCAGCCGCTAGTCGCCACTAACAAATCGCAATTCAGCGGTTCGAAGGCTCCCGCAAGTCCCGCATAAGCAGCGAGCATTGCATCCTGTCAGGCAACCGCCGCCAGAGAGGTGGCCGCCGCCGGCAGGCGTAGGTAGCCGTTTGCTACCGCGCAGTGGCGCCCAAAACCGTTCATTGGCCAATTTTAGCAATTGGTTGTTCTACCTGATGATTTGGATAGCAACGCCAATATTAACCTTGAGCATCATCTTGGTGGAGCCAAAGTTAATGGGGTTTTGGGCGCTGCTTATTTGAGAGCGCTAGCGACTGCGCTTGCTTGATGAATGTGCCTGATGCAAAAGACGTGTCTAGCTTTGGGGCCAAAGAGGGTTCTGGATGCACTATGATGCAATAATCAGTAGGTCGTGGCAACTGGCAGTTGAGGCAGCGATGTCCCCAATCAACCTTCTCTCAGTTGCATTTCCCTTACGCTAAAGACAGCCTGTGAATCTGTCAGCTACAGCCCGCAGGGGATCCAAAAAGATAGACTTGGAAGCGGACTAGTTTCTGTGGCTCTTTGCTGGGCTCTCACTGCTGTTCAGAGTTTTTTGACCGAGCCAGAAAGAGCTACCAGGTGCCGGCACACCTGTTCAGGTTTGGCTGTCGTAATCAGTTGGACTACTTTTCTTGCAGACCGGTTCAGAGCCCAAGCAGGTGTTGTGTGCTTCTTCATTTGCCTCACGGCGTCAGTGTACCAACCCTTGTGGGATGCCCATATCTTGGGGGTTGGGTTTCAGTTGAGAGGCTCAAGCCAGCATCTTGTGTGCCCATAAACTGGGCATCCGTGCGGTGCGGGAGTCCAAGCATCGTTTCACAGCAGCGATGTCATGAACACCAGAACTGTTGGCAGCCCGCGCGTGGGCTATCCAAAGGGATGCAAGTGGAGTAGTTTCCGTGGAAGTCAGTGGAACATGTTTGGACATCAAAGATCGGCAACGACCGGCATTATGCTTGGCCGTTCCTCTCAAACCGCTGAGGTCTCAATGGCTCAAAGCGGCCTGGCAGATGAGAAGGAGCGATCGATGCAAGCAAGTCAACCCACCGTGCTCGAGTTACTTTGGATATGCTCCTCAGGATTTTGGGCATGTGGCTTCGATTCGCTCGGGGGAGTTCCATGTGCTCATGTCTTGGAAGCGCTGCGCGCTCGAGTTTGGAGTCACCTCGCGCCAAGCAACGATGATGGGGCCAGCGAGCTGCTGGAGCTGCTGGAGGCAATGTCAATGACATGACGTCCAGCAGCTCCAGCAGCTCAATGTCGCCCGTGCTCGAGTTACTTTGGATATGCTCCTCCTCAGAGTTTTGGGCATGTGGCTTCGATTCTCTCGGAAAACATCGATGTGCTCATGTCTTGGACGCGGCGCCCGAGTTTGGAGTCACCTCGCGCCAGGCAACGATGATGGGGCCAGCAAGCTGCTGGAGCTGCTGGAGGCAATGTCAATGACATGACGTCCAGCAGCTCCAGCAGCTTAATGTTGACCGTGCTCGAGTTACTTTGGATATACTCCTCATATTTTTGGGCATGTGGCTTCGATTCTCTCCCAAAACATCGACGTGCTCATGTCTTGGACGCGGCGCCAGAGTTTGGAGTCACCTCGCGCCAGGCAACGATGATGGGGCCAGCGAGCTGCTGGAGCTGCTGGAGGCAATGTCAATGACATGACGTCCAGCAGCTCCAGCAGCTTAATGTCGACCGTGCTCGAGTTACTTTGGATATGCTCCTCAGATTTTTGGGCATGTGGCTTCGATTCTCTCGGAAAACATCGACATGTCTTGGACGCGGCGCCCGAGTTTGGAGTCACCTCGCGCCAGGCAACGATGATGGGGCCAGCGAGCTGCTGGAGCTGCTGGAGGCAATGTCAATGACATGACGTCCAGCAGCTCCAGCAGCTTAATGTCGCCCGTGCTCGAGTTACTTTGGATATGCTCCTCCTCAGATTTTTGGGCATGTGGCTTCGATTCTCTCGAAAAACATCGATGTGCTCATGTCTTGGACGCGGCGCCCGAGTTTGGAGTCACCTCGCGCCAGGCAACGATGATGGGGCCAGCGAGCTGCTGGAGCTGCTGGAGGCAATGTCAATGACATGACGTCCAGCAGCTCCAGCAGCTTAATGTCGACCGTGCTCGAGTTACTTTGGATATGCTCCTCAGATTTTTGGGCATGTGGCTTCGATTCTCTCGGAAAACGTCTTGGACGCGGCGCCCGAGTTTGGAGTCACCTCGCGCCAGGCAACGATGATGGGGCCAGCGAGCTGCTGGAGCGCCCGTGCTCGAGTTACTTTGGATATGCTCCTCCTCAGATTTTTGGGCATGTGGCTTCGATTCTCTCGAAAAACATCGATGTGCTCATGTCTTGGACGCGGCGCCCGAGTTTGGAGTCACCTCGCGCCAGGCAACGATGATGGGGCCAGCGAGCTGCTGGAGCTGCTGGAGGCAATGTCAATGACATGACGTCCAGCAGCTCCAGCATATCTTGGCCTTGGTGGGCAAGAAGGCGCCCGATTTTTGTGGATGCTGGTTGCCTGGGTGCTTGGTTTGGTAGCAAGAGGTGTTGCAAGGAAGCATTTTCCGCGGCCCCTTCCCAAACTCCGCCACAAGGCGAAGAGACCGCAGGAAAACCAATGCTGCAGAGGTTCCCATCATTCCCGGTGAAGTCACTCTACACTTTCACTTTTTTTTTGTAGCAAATCAGCGCAGTGGTTTTCAGAGGACACATAAGACACCTTATCTTGCCCATGACGTGCTTTTCCTTTGCTTCTGATATTGCTCATGCTCAGGGTACTAGTAGCTGGGAGGAGGGGGAGGGCGGAGGTGGAATGGAGGACGAGGAAGGAGGGAGGAAGGAGCGAGGAAGGAGGGAGGCAGGAAGGGAGGGAGGGAGGGAGGGAGGGAGGGAGGGAGGGAGGGAGGGGGGGGGGCGGGAAGTCCTTGGCTGCCCAGGATTTCAAGGACGCGGTGGAAGAGGTGCAGCAGGTTATGGCTGCCAGGACCGACGGGTACCTGTGGCTTGGCGGAGATGCGCTCACCCCACGCCACAAGCCTGCAGTGGGTTGCGGAGCCGCAAGGAGGTCACGTGAGGCGCTTGCCTCCACAGCAACATTCTCAAGAGTTGGGCCCCTGCCCTGTGCACGACTCAGCGTCGTCACTGTTTCGGCCAATTGAAGACAGCTAAACTGGCGCCAGTGCCACGAAAATTCTTGATGTTTTGTGGATTTGAGCATGACATGGACTTGGGACATTGGGACATTGGGGCTCGCTTTAGATGTGAACTGGCCGTGTGAGGTCTCTTGCGTCAACAGCGCGTCGCCGGGCTCGACCACAAAAGTGGCCCAGAGTGCCCCATCGCTGAGTGCGTATGGCTCCCCAGCTGGTCAGGTCGCTGTTGCGAGAGATGCGTATTTGTCGGCATGGTCAACAAAGACAAATTTAATTGTAGTCGGCCCCAACATAAAGCCATTACATCGAGACCACGACAAGGTGTTCTGTGGGTGTGATTTTGAGTCATAAGATCTGCGAAGTAAGCCGTGTTGGGGGTGAACGACCACGAGGTTCTAACATTGTAGTTGAGGATGAACATAGACCGAAACCAATGCGCCCTGACAGATTACGTATTATTACGTTGATCTCATGTCATAATGCCTCGCCGTGGATGAACACGTTGAAGGCACAAGAGCGACGTACGATGATGCTAGTGCAAACGTTCATCAAAAGTCGGCTCTGCAAGCGCCAGCCTTGCAGAGGGTCCCTCTTACAGAGTGGGAACTCGGACACTGCGGTAAACTAGAAATATTGTTGCAAAAGTAGTAAGTGTGTGGCAAGATTTGGCTCGCTTTCCAACACAAGACCCATTCCCGCTACGTGCCAACAATTGCAGCAGCAACATATTGTTGTGTTTCTTTGGGTTGCCACTAGTATAATAGGGATAAACATCATACCGTGATACCAACAAGGGCCGTCGAACGCTGCATGTTTTTCAAGCCTCAAATGACCCGAGGCCGACAGCAGCAAGCGCCGGAAGCGAGGCACCGACACGACACGTTCACATACACAGAACACAGGCGCAGCGTTTAATCCACACAGTCCTGGGCATCAACAAAAGCTGCCAAGGCCACATTTTTTTTTTTTAAACACATGACGATTCGATGCATAGACCGTTGCGGCCTGTCAGGCAATCGTCGCCAGAGGGGCGGCCGGCGCTGGCAGGCATAGGTAGCCGTTTGCTACCGCGTTTCAGCAGCGCCCAAAACCTCCCATTGGATGTTTTAGTGTTGGTTTCATTTGGATTTATAGAAAGGCCAATAGCTGTAATTGTGCAAACCTTTGCAGTCATCTTGGTGGAGCGTCATTAGGTGTTTGGCGCTGCTCGTTTGAAGCCGCGCGACCGCCTCGCCGGCCCTGACGGTCGTCCAGACGCAAAATATGTGATTTCGGCAACAACTTCAAAGGCCCCAATTAGCCAGCTGTGTCTAGTTTCAAGGGCGTTTTGTCGACCTGTTGGTCCAAGCTCGCGCCGAAAATAAATTCGCAATTCAGCGGTTCGAAGTCTCCCGCAAGTCCCGCAGAAGCAGCGTCCCAGGCACCCGCCAGAGAGGTGGCGGGTGCCGGCGGGTATAGGTAGCCGTTTGCTACCACGCAGTGGCGCCCAAAACAGTTCATTGGCCAATTCTAGTACTTAGTTAGTTGTACTAGCTGGGTTCATTTAGATAGCAAAGCTCTAGTTTTATAAACCTTGAGCATTATTTTGGTAGAGCCACACGTCAACGGGTTTTGGGCACTGCTTATTTGAGAGCGCTACCACTGCGCTTGCTTGATGCATGTGCCTGATGCAAAAGACGCGTCTAGCTTTGGGGCCAAAGAGGGTTCTGGATGCACTATGATGCAATACCCAGTAGATCGTGGCAACTGGCAGTTGAGGCAGCGATGTCCCCAATCAACCTTCTCTCAGTTGCATTTCCCTTACGCTAAAGACAGCCTGTGAATCTGTCAGCTACAGCCCGCAGGGGATCCAAAAGGATAGACTTGGAAGCGGACTAGTTTCTGCGGCTCTTTGCTGGGCTCTCACTGCTGTTCAGAGTTTTGACCGAGCCAGAAAGAGCTACCAGGTGCCGGCACAAACCTGTTCAGGTTTGGCTATTGTAATCTGTTGGACTGATGGGTGCTGCTGCTACTTTTCTTGCAGACCGGTTCAGAATCCAAGCAGGTGTTGTTTGCTTCATTTGCCTAGAGGCTCAAGCCAGCATTTTCTGCCCATAACCAACGCATCCTTGCGGTGCGGGAGTCCAAGTGTCGTGTTGGCAGCCAGCGCTGGCGTGAACTCCGGAACTGTTGGCAGCCAGCGCATGGTCTATCCAAAGGGATGGAAGTGCAGTTGTTTCTGTGGAACTCTGTGGAACATGTTTGGATATGAAAGATTGGCGATGATCGGCATTGTGCTTGGCCGTTCCTCTCAAACCGCTGAGGTCTCAATGGCTCAAAGCGGCCTGGCAGTTGAGAAGGAGCGATCGATGCAACTAAGTTAATCCACCGTGCTCGAGCTGCTGTCACTTTTGATATGCTCCTCCGATTTCTGGGTATGTGGCTTCGATTCGCTCGGGGGAGTTGTGCTCATGTCTTGGAAGCGCGGCGCCCGAGCTTGGAGTCGCCTCGCGCCAGGCACCGATGATGGGACCAAGCAGCGAGCTGCTGGAGCTGCTGGACACCATGTCCAAGGCAGCTTCCGAAACTCGGGCGATGCACCCGGCCGGCCGACCTTGCCTGCGCAGGTGCGCATGGCGCGCCACATCTTGGCCTTGGTGGGCAAGAAGGCGCCGGCATTTTGTGGATGCTGGTTGCCTGGGTGCTTGAATTGGTAGCAAGAGGGGTTGCAAGGCAGCATTTTCCGGGGCCCCTTCCCAAACCCCGCCGTAAGGCCAAGAGACCGCAGGAAAACCAATGCTGCAGAGGTTCCCATCATTCCCGGTGAAGTCACATCACACTTTCACCATAACAGCTTGTAGCAAATCAGCGCGGTGATGTTTTCAGAGGACACATAAGACACCTTGTCTTGCCCATGCCGTGCTTTTTCTTTGCTTCTGATATTGCTCAGGGTACTAGTAGCTGGGAGGAGGGGAAAGGGGAGGCGGAATGGAGGACGAGGAAGCTGGGGATTGAGGGAGGGAGGGGGAGGCAGGAGGGAGGGAGGCGGGAAGGGACGTTTCGTCCTTGGCTGCCCAGGATTTCAAGGACGAGGTGGAAGAGGTGCAGCAGGTTATGGCTGCCAGGACTGACCGTTTACCTTCAAGGGTCCGCGGACCGACGGTTACCTTTGGCGCGGGGCTGATATGTGGCTTGGCGGAGATGCGCACCTCATGCAACGATCCTTTGGCAGTGGGTTGCGGAGCGCGTTCGCAAGGAGGTCTCGTGAGGCGCTTGCCTCCACAGCAACATCTCCAAGAGTCGGGCCGTTGCCCTGCGCAGAACTCAGCGTCGTCGGAGCAAATTGGCAGCTTGTTTCCATGATGCTTGTGCCACTTCAGCGAGCTGTTTCGGGAAACTTGTTTTACAGCCGAAAACAAAGGACCGTTGCAAGACATTGCAGCTAAGTCGGCGCCAGTGCCACGGAAATTCTTATGAATCTTCCTGCGAGGAGCGCGCTTGATATGTGTTCCCAGATTTCAGCATGACATGCGCTTGGGTCGTCGGGACTCGTTGCTTCAGATGAGAACTGACTGGCCATGTGAGGTCTCTTGGGTCAACAGAGCGTCGGGCTCGACCACAAAAGTGGCCCAGAGTGTCCCATCGCTGAGTGCGTATGGCTCCCAAGCTGGTCATGTCGCTGTTCCGAGAGAGATGCATATCTGTGGGCATGGTCAACAACGACATGAATGTAATCGTAGTCGGCCCCAACATTAAGCCATTACGTCCAGACAACGTCAGGGTGTTTTGTGGGTGTGATTTTAGTCATAAAATCTGCCAAGTAAGCCGTGTTTGGGGTGAACGACCACGAGGTTCTAACATGGTAGTTGAGGATGAACACAGACCGAAAACAATGCACCCAGACAGATTATGTATCATTACATTGATCTCATGTTATGTGCCTACGCCTCGCCGTGGATGAACACGTTGACGGCACAAGAGCCATGTACGATGATGCTAGTCCAAACGTTCATCAAAAGTCGGCTCTGCAAGCGCCAGCCTTGCAGAGGGTCCCTCTTACAGAGTGGGAACTCGGACACTGCGGCAAACTAGGGGTATTGTTGCAAAAGCAAATGTGTGGCAAGATCTGGCTCGCTTTCCAGCACAAGACAGTTTCCCGCTACGTGCCAACAATTGCAGCAGCAACATATGGTGGCGTTTTTTGGATTGCTACTAGTATAGAGAGATGATCATCATACCGTCACAACACGGGCCGTCGAACGCTGCATGTTTTTCAAGCCTCAAATGACCCGAGGCCGACAGCAGCAAGCGCCGGAAGCGAGGCACCAACCCGACACGTTCACATACACAGAACACAGGCGCAGCGTTGAATCCACACAGTCCTGGGCATCAACAAAAGCTGCCAAGGCCACATGTTTTTAAAACGTGACGATTCGATGCATAGACCGTTGCGGCCTGTCAGGCAATCGTCGCCAGAGGGGCGGCCGGCGCCGGCAGGCATAGGTAGCCGTTTGCTACCGCGTTTCAGCAGCGCCCAAGACCTCCCATGGGATGTTTTAGTGTTGGTGTAATTTGGATTTATAGAAAGGCCAATAGATGTAATTATGCAAACCTTTGCAGTCATTTTGGTGGAGCGTCAGTAGGTTTTTGGCGCTGCTCGTTTGAAGCCGCGCGACCGCCTCGCCGGCCCTGACGGTCGTCCGACGCAAAAGATGTGATTTCGGCAAAAACTTCAAAGGCCCCAACTAGCCAGCTGTTTCTAGTTTCAAGGGCGATTTGTCGACCTGTTGGTCCAAGCCAGCCGCCGCCAACAAATTCGCAATTCAGCGTTTCGAAGGCTCCCGCAAGTCCCGCAGAAGCAGCGACCATTGCTTCCGGGCAACCGCCGCTGCAAAGGGCAGGTGCCGGCGGGTTAGGTAGCCAGGTAGCCGTTTGCTGCCGCGCAGCGCCCAAAAACCGTTCATTGGCCATTCTAGCAATTAGCTGTACTACATGGGTTCAAATAAATAGCTAAGCCAATACTATAGACCTTGAGCATTGTTTTGGTAGAGCCGAACGTCAACGGGTTTTGGGCACTGCTTATTTGAGAGCGCTACCACTGCGCTTGCTTGATGAATGTGCCTGATGCAAAAGACGAGCGTTTAGCTTTGGGGCCAAAGACGGTTCTGAATCGCGACCAAAATTGGATGCACTCTGAGGCGATACTCAGTAGGTCGTGGCAACTGGCAGTTGAGGCAGCGATGTGCCCAAGCAACTTTCTTTCAGTTGCATTTTCCCTTACGCTAAAGACAGCCTGTGATTGTGTCAGCTACAGCCCGCAGGGGATCAGAAAGGATAGACTTGGACGCGGACTAGTTTCTGTGGCACTTTGCTTGGCTCTTTGCTTACTGCTGTTCAGAGTTTTGACCGCGCCAGAAAGAGCTATCAGGTGCCGGCGCAAACCTGTTCAGGTTCGGCTGTCGTAATCTGTTGGACTGATGGGTGCTGCTGCTACTTTTCTTGCAGACCGGTTCAGAATCCAAGCAGGTGTTGTTTGCTTCATTTGCCTTGCGGCGTCAGACCGTTGTGGGATGCTTGTTTCTTGGGGGTAGGGTTTCAGTTGAGAGGCTCAAGCCAGCATCTTGTGTGCCCAAAACCAACGCATCCTTGCGGTGCAGGAGTCCAAGTCTCGTGTTGGTGTGAACACCAGAACTGTTAGCAGCCCGCGCATGGGCTAAAGGGATGGAAGTGGAGTAGTTTGCGTGGAACTCTGTGGAACATGTTTGGACATCAAAGATCGGCGAAGACCGGCATTATGCTTGGCCGTTCCTCTCAAACCGCTGAGGTCTCAATGGCTCAAAGCGGCCTGGCAGATGAGAAGGAGCGATCGATGCCTTTAGAGATGCTCTTCATATTTTTGGGCATGTGGCTTCGATTCTCTCGGGCAACATCGATTGGACGCGGCGCCCGAGCTTGGAGTTGCCTCGCGCCAGGCACCGATGATGGGACCAAGCAGCGAGCTGCTGGAGCTGCTGGATGCTATGTCCAAGGCAGCTTCCGAAGCTCGGGCGATGCAACCGGCCGACCTTGCCTGCGCAGGTGCGCATGGCGCGACACATCTTGGCCTTGGTGGGCAAGAAGGAAAGCCAATGCTGCAGAGTTCCCCTCATTCCCGGTGAAGTCACTTCACACTTTCACCATGATTTTTTGTGGCAAATCAGCGCGGTGATGTTTTCAGAGGACACATAAGACACCTTGTCTTGCCCATGCCGTGCTTTTTCTTTGCTTCTGATATTGCTCATGCTCAGGGTACTAGTAGCTGGGAGGAGGGGGAGGCGGAGGCGGAATGGAGGACGAGGAAGGAGGGAGGAAGGAGCGAGGAGGGAGGCGGGAGGGAGGGAGGGAGGGAGGGAGGGAGGGAGGGAGGGAGGCGGGAAGGGACGTTTAGTCCTTGGCTGCCCAGGATTTCAAGGACGAGGTGGAAGAGGTGCAGCAGGCTATGGCTGCCAGGACCGACGGTTGTTAGGCAACCATTATTTTTGGGGACCGCGCAGGGCTGACATGTAGCTTTGCGGAGATGCGCTCAAGGAGGTCTCGTGAGGCTCTTGCCTCCACAGCAACACCATCCCCAAGAGTCGGGCCGTTGCCCTGTGCACGACTCAGCGTCGTCACTGTTTCGGCCGTTTGAAGACAGTGCACTAAATTGGCGCCAGTGCCACGGAAATTTTTGATGTTTTGTGGATTTGAGCGTGACATGGGCTTGGGACATTGGGGCTCGCTGCTCTAGATGAGAACTGACTGGCCATGTGAGGTCTCTTGGGTCGACAGCGCGTCGCCGGGCTCGACCACAAAAGTGGCCCAGAGTGCCCCATCGCTGAGTGCGTACGGCTCCCAAGCTGGTCATGTCGCTGTTGCGCAAGAGATGCAATCTGTGGGCATGGTCAACAATGACACGAATCTCATCGTAGTCGGCCACAACATAAAGCCATTACGTCCAGACAACGTCAGGGTGTTTTGTGGGTGTGATTTTAGTCATAAAATCTGCCAAGTAAGCCGTGTTTGGGGTGAACGACCACGAGGTTCTAACATGGTAGTTGAGGATGAACATAGACCGAAAACAATGCGCCCAGACAGATTATGTATCATTGCATTGGTCTCATGTGAGCCATGTACGATGATGCTAGTGCGAAGTTCATCAAAAGTCGGCTCTACGAGCGCCAGCCTTGCAGACGGTCCCTCTTACAGAGTGGGAGCTCGGATAGATTGGACACTGGCAAGATCTGGCTCGCTATGTGACAACAATTGCAGCAGCAACATATTGTTGCGTTTCTTTGGGTTGCCACTAGTTTAAAGGGCTAAACAGCATACCGTGATACCAAGCAGGGCCGTCGAAAGCTGCATTTTTGGACAGCCTCAAATGGCCCGAGGCCGACAGCAGCAAGCGCCGGAAGCGAGGCACCGACACGTCACGTTTACATGTAAATATAAACACAGGCACAGCGCTTAATCCACACAGTCCTGGACTAATAACTTTCAAGGGCCCAAGATGCAGCCAGCTGCTCCAGGTTTCAAGGGCGTTTTGTCGACATGGTGGTCCAAGCCAGCCGCTAGTCGCCGCCAACAAATCGCAATTCAGCGTTTCGAAGGCTCCCGCAAGTCCCGAAGCAGCGAGCATTGCATCCTGTCAGGCAACCGCCGCCAGAGAGGTGGCCGCCGCCGGCAGGCGTAGGTAGCCGTTTGCTACCGCGCAGTGGCGCCCAAAACCGTTCATTGGCCAATTTTAGCAATTAGTTGTTCTACCTGATTTGGAGAGCAACGCCAATATTAACCTTGAGAATCATCTTGGTGGAGCCAAAGTTAATGGGGTTTTGGGCGCTGCTTATTTGAGAGCGCTAACGACTGCGCTTGCTTGATGAATGTGCCTGATGCAAAAGACGCGTCTAGCTTTGGGGCCAAAGAGGGTTCAGGATGCACTATGATGCAATACCCAGTAGGTCGTGGCAACTGGCAGTTGAGGCAGCGATGTCCCCAATCAACCTTCTCTCAGTTGCATGTTTCCTTAGACTAAAGACAGCCTGTGAATCTGTCAGCTACAGCCCGCAGGGGATCCAAAAGGATAGACTTGGAAGCGGACTAGTTTCTGCGGCTCTTTGCTGGGCTCTTTGCTCACTGCTGTTCAGAGTTTTGACCGAGCCAGAAAGAGCTACCAGGTGCCGGCACAAACCTGTTCAGGTTTGGCTGTCGTAATCAGTTGGACTACTTTCTTGCAGACTGGTGTTGTGTGCTTCTTCATTTGCCTCACGGCGTCAGTGTACCAACCCTTGTGGGATGCCCATATCTTGGGGGTTGGGTTTCAGTTGAGAGGCTCAAGCCAGCATCTTGTGTGCCAATAAACTGGGCATCCGTGCGGTGCGGGAGTTGGCAGCCCGCGCATGGGCTATCCAAAGGGATGCAAGTGGAGTAGTTTCCGTGGAACTCAGTGGAACATGTTTGGACATCAAAGATCGGCGACGACCGGCATTATGCTTGGCCGTTCCTCTCAAACCGCTGAGGTCTCAATGGCTCAAAGCAAGTAAGTCAACCCACCGTGCTCGAGTTACTTTGGATATGCTCCTCAGGTTTTTGGGCGTGTGGCTTCGATTCTCTCGGGGACCATCGATGTGCTCATGTCTTGGAAGCGCTGTGCGCCCGAGTTTGGAGTCACCTCGCGCCAAGCAACGATGATGGGGCCAGCGACCTGCTGGAGCTGCTGGACACCATGTCATGACGTCAAGCAGCTCCAGCAGCTTAATTAATGTCGACCGTGCTCGAGTTACTTTGGATATGCTCCTCCTCATATTTTTGGGCATGTGGCTTCGATTCTCTCGGAAAACATCGATGTGCTCATGTCTTGGACGCGGCGCCCGAGTTTGGAGTCACCTCGCGCCAGGCAACGATGATGGGGCCAGCGAGCTGCTGGAGCTGCTGGAGGCAATGTCAATGACATGACGTCCAGCAGCTCCAGCAGCTTAATGTCGACCGTGCTCGAGTTACTTTGGATATGCTTGTCAGATATCGGGCATGTGGCTTCGATTCTCTCAGGGAACATCGATGTGCTCATGTTTTGGACGCGGCGCCTGAGTTTGGAGCCACCTTGCACCAGGCAACGATGATGGGGCCAGCGAGCTGCTGGAGCTGCTGGAGGCAATGTCAATGACATGACGTCCAGCAGCTCCAGCAGCTTAATGTCGCCCGTGCTCGAGTTACTTTGGATATGCTCCTCAGATTTTTGGGCATGTGGCTTCGATTCGCTGGGGGGAGTTCGATGTGCTCATGTCTTGGAAGCGCTGCGCGCTCGAGGCAACGATGCTGGGGCCAGCGAGCTGCTGGAGCTGCTGGAGGCAATGTCAATGACATGACGTCCAGCAGCTCCAGCAGCTTAATGTCGAAGGCAAGGCTACAGAAATTCGGGCGATGCAATCAGCTGGCCGACCTTGCCGGCGCAGGTGCGCATCCATATGTTGGCCTTGGTGGGCAAGAAGGCGCCCGATTTCTGTGGATGCTGGTTGCCTGGGTGCTTGGTTTGGTAGCAAGAGGGGTTGCAAGGAAGCATTTTCCGCGGCCCCTTCCCAAACTCCGCCACAAGGCGAAGAGACCGCAGGAAAACCAATGTTGCAGAGGTTCCCATCATTCCCGGTCAAGTTACTGTACACTTCGCATAACTTTTTGTAGCAAATCAGCGCGGTGGTTTTCAGAGGACACATAAGACGCCTTATGTTGCCCAGTGATTTTTCTTTGCTTCGGATATTGCTCAGGGTACTATTAGCTGGGAGGAGGGGGAGGGGAAGGCGGAATGGAGGACGAGGAAGGAGGAAGGAGGGAGGAAGGAGGGAGGCAGGAGGGAGGGAGGGAGCAAGGAAAGAGGGAGCGAGGGAGGCGGGAAGGGACGTTTAGTCCTTGGCTGCCCAGGATTTCAAGGACGCGGTGGAAGAGGTGCAGCAGGTTATGGCTGCCAGGACCGACGGTTACCTGTGGCTTGGCGGAGATGCGCTCACCCCACGCCACAAGCCTGCAGTGGGTTGCGGAGCCGCAAGGAGGTCACGTGAGGCGCTTGCCTCCACAGCAACATTCTCAAGAGTTGGGCCCCTGCCCTGTGCACGACTCAGCGTCGTCACTGTTAGCGCCAGTGCCACGGAAATTCTTGATGTGTTGTGGATTTGAGCGTGACATGGGCTTGGGACATTGGGACTCATTGCTTTAGATGTGAACTGGCCGTGTGAGGTCTCTTGGGTCAACAGCGCGTCGCCGGGCTCGATCACAAAAGTGGCCCAGAGTGCCCCGTGGCTGAGTGCGTATGGCTCCCCAGCTGGTCAGGTCGCTGTTGCGAGAGATGCGTATTTGTCGGCATGGTCAACAAAGACACAAATTTACTCGTAGTCGGCCCCAACATAAAGCCATTACATTGAGACCACGTTAGGGTGTTCTGTGGGTGTGATTTTGAGTCATAAGATCTGCGAAGTAAGCCGTGTTGAGGGTGAACGACCACGAGGTTCTAACATGGTAGTTGAGGATGAACACAGACCGAAAACAATGCACCCAGACAGATTATGTATCATTACATTGATCTCATGTCATAATGCCTCGCCGTGGATGAACACGTTGACGGCACAAGAGCCATGCAAACGTTCATCAAAAGTCGGCTCTGCAAACGCCAGCCTTGCAGAGGGTCCCTCTTACAGAGTGGGAACTCGGACACTGCGGTAAACTAGAAATATTGTTGCAAAAGTAGTAAGTGTGTGGCAAGATTTGGCTCGCTTTCCAACACAAGACCCATTCCCGCTACGTGCCAACAATTGCAGCAGCAACATATTGTTGTGTTTCTTTGGATTGCCACTAGTATAATAGGGATAAACATCATACCGTGATACCAACAAGGGCCGTCGAACGCTGCATGTTTTTCAAGCCTCAAATGACCCGAGGCCGACAGCAGCAAGCGCCGGAAGCGAGGCACCGACACGACACGTTCACATACACAGAACACAGGCGCAGCGTTTAATCCACACAGTCCTGGGCATCAACAAAAGCTGCCAAGGCCACATTTTTTAAAAACATGACGATTCGATGCATAGACCGTTGCGGCCTGTCAGGCAATCGTCGCCAGAGGGGCGGCCGGCGCCGGCAGGCATAGGTAGCCGTTTGCTACCGCGTTTCAGCAGCGCCCAAAACCTCCCATTGGATGTTTTAGTGTTGGTTTCATTTGGATTTATAGAAAGGCCAATAGATGTAATTATGCAAACCTTTGCAGTCATCTTGGTGGAGCGTCAGTAGGTGTTTGGCGCTGCTCGTTTGAAGCCGCGCGACCGCCTCGCCGGCCCTGACGGTCGTCCGACGCAAAATATGTGATTTCGGCAACAACTTCAAAGGCCCCAATTAGCCAGCTGTGTCTAGTTTCAAGGGCGTTTTGTCGACCTGTTGGTCCAAGCTCGCGCCGAAAATACATTCGCAATTCAGCGGTTCGAAGTCTCCCGCAAGTCCCGCAGAAGCAGCGTCCCAGGCACCCGCCAGAGAGGTGGCGGGTGCCGGCGGGTATAGGTAGCCGTTTGCTACCACGCAGTGGCGCCCAAAACAGTTCATTGGCCAATTCTAGTACTTAGTTAGTTGTACTAGCTGGGTTCATTTAGATAGCAAAGCTATAGTTTTGTAAACCTTGAGCATTATTTTGGTAGAGCCACACGTCAACGGGTTTTGGGCACTGCTTATTTGAGAGCGCTACCACTGCGCTTGCTTGATGAATGTGCCTGATGCAAAAGACGCGTCTAGCTTTGGGGCCAAAGAGGGTTCTGGATGCACTATGATGCAATACCCAGGATCGTGGCAGCTGGCAGTTGAGGCAGCGATGTCCCCAATCAACCTTCTCTCAGTTGCATTTCCCTTACGCTAAAGACAGCCTGTGAATCTGTCAGCTACAGCCCGCAGGGGATCCAAAAGCATAGACTTGGAAGCGGACTAGTTTCTGCGGCTCTTTGCTGGGCTCTTTGCTCACTGCTGTTCAGAGTTTTGACCGAGCCAGAAAGAGCTACCAGGTGCCGGCACAAACCTGTTCAGGTTTGGCTATTGTACTCTGTTGGACTGATGGGTGCTGCTGCTACTTTTCTTGCAGACCGGTTCAGAATCCAAGCAGGTGTTGTTTGCTTCATTTGCCTAGAGGCTCAAGCCAGCATTTTCTGCCCATAACCAACGCATCCTTGCGGTGCGGGAGTCCAAGTGTCGTGTTGGCAGCCAGCGCTGGCGTGAACTCCGGAACTGTTGGCAGCCAGCGCATGGAACATGTTTGGATATGAAAGATTGGCGATGATCGGCATTGTGCTTGGCCGTTCCTCTCAAACCGCTGAGGTCTCAATGGCTCAAAGCGGCCTGGCAGTTGAGAAGGAGCGATCGATGCAACTAAGTTAATCCACCGTGCTCGAGCTGCTGTCACTTTTGATATGCTCCTCCGATTTCTGGGTATGTGGCTTCGATTCGCTCGGGGGGAGTTGTGCTCATGTCTTGGAAGCGCGGCGCCCGAGCTTGGAGTCGCCTCGCGCCAGGCACCGATGATGGGACCAAGCAGCGAGCTGCTGGAGCTGCTGGACACCATGTCCAAGGCAGCTTCCGAAACTCGGGCGATGCAACCGGCCGGCCGACCTTGCCTGCGCAGGTGCGCATGGCGCGCCACATCTTGGCCTTGGTGGGCAAGAAGGCGCCGGCATTTTGTGGATGCTGGTTGCCTGGGTGCTTGAATTGGTAGCAAGAGGGGTTGCAAGGAAGCATTTTCCGGGGCCCCTTCCCAAACTCCGCCGTAAGGCCAAGAGACCGCAGGAAAACCAATGCTGCAGAGGTTCCCATCATTCCCGGTGAAGTCACATCACACTTTCACCATAACTGCTTGTAGCAAATCAGCGCGGTGATGTTTTCAGAGGACACATAAGACACCTTGTCTTGCCCATGCCGTGCTTTTTCTTTGCTTCTGATATTGCTCAGGGTACTAGTAGCTGGGAGGAGGGGAAAGGGGAGGCGGAATGGAGGACGAGGAAGCTGGGGATTGAGGGAGGGAGGGGGAGGCAGGAGGGAGGGAGGCGGGAAGGGACGTTTCGTCCTTGGCTGCCCAGGATTTCAAGCACGAGGTGGAAGAGGTGCAGCAGGTTATGGCTGCCAGGACTGACCGTTTACCTTCAAGGGCCCGCGGACCGACGGTTACCTTTGGCGCGGGGCTGACATGTGGCTTGGCGGAGATGCGCACCTCATGCAACGATCCTTTGGCAGTGGGTTGCGGAGCGCGTTCGCAAGGAGGTCTCGTGAGGCGCTTGCCTCCACAGCAACATCTCCAAGAGTCGGGCCGTTGCCCTGCGCAGAACTCAGCGTGTTCGTCGTCGGAGCAAATTGGCAGCTTGTGTCCATGATGCTTGTGCCACTTCAGCGAGCTGTTTCGGGAAACTTGTTTTACAGCCGGAAACAAAGGACCGTTGCAAGACATTGCAGCTAAGTCGGCGCCAGTGCCACGGAAATTCTTATGAATCTTCCTGCGAGGAGCGCGCTTGATATTTGTTCCCAGATTTCAGCATGACATGCGCTTGGGTCGTCGGGACTCGTTGCTTCAGATGAGAACTGACTGGCCATGTGAGGTCTCTTGGGTCAACAGAGCGTCGGGCTCGACCACAAAAGTGGCCCAGAGTGTCCCATCGCTGAGTGCGTATGGCTCCCAAGCTGGTCATGTCGCTGTTCCGAGAGAGATGCATATCTGTGGGCATGGTCAACAACGACATGAATGTAATCGTAGTCGGCCCCAACATTAAGCCATTACGTCGAGCCCATGTTAGGGTGTTTTGTGGGTGTGATTTGGAGTCATAAGATCTGCCAAGTAAGCCGTGTTTGGGGTGAACGACCACGAGGTTCTAACATGGTAGTTGAGGATGAACACAGACCGAAAACAATGCACCCAGACAGATTATGTATCATTACATTGATCTCATGTTATGTGCCTACGCCTCGCCGTGGATGAACACGTTGACGGCACAAGAGCCATGTACGATGATGCTAGTGCAAACGTTCATCAAAAGTCGGCTCTGCAAGCGCCAGCCTTGCAGCGGGTCCCTCTTACAGAGTGGGAACTCGGACACTGCGGCAAACTAGGGGTATTGTTGCAAAAGCAAATGTGTGGCAAGATCTGGCTCGCTTTCCAGCACAAGACAGTTTCCCGCTACGTGCCAACAATTGCAGCAGCAACATATGGTGGCGTTTTTTGGATTGCCACTAGTATAGAGAGATGATCATCATACCGTCACAACAAGGGCCGTCGAACGCTGCATGTTTTTCAAGCCTCAAATGACCCGAGGCCGACAGCAGCAAGCGCCGGAAGCGAGGCACCAACCCGACACGTTCACATACACAGAACACAGGCGCAGCGTTTAATCCACACAGTCCTGGGCATCAACAAAAGCTGCCAAGGCCACATGTTTTTAAAACGTGACGATTCGATGCATAGACCGTTGCGGCCTGTCAGGCAATCGTCGCCAGAGGGGCGGCCGGCGCCGGCAGGCATAGGTAGCCGTTTGCTACCGCGTTTCAGCAGCGCCCAAGACCTCCCATGGGATGTTTTAGTGTTGGTGTAATTTGGATTTATAGAAAGGCCAATAGATGTAATTATGCAAACCTTTGCAGTCATCTTGGTGGAGCGTCAGTAGGTTTTTGGCGCTGCTCGTTTGAAGCCGCGCGACCGCCTCGCCGGCCCTGACGGTCGTCAGACGCAAAAGATGTGATTTCGGCAAAAACTTCAAAGGCCCCAACTAGCCAGCTGTTTCTAGTTTCAAGGGCGATTTGTCGACCTTTTGGTCCAAGCTAGCCGCCGCCAACAAATTCGCAATTCAGCGGTTCGAAGTCTCCCGCAAGTCCCGCAGAAGCAGCGACCATTGCTTCCGGGCAACCGCCGCCGCAAAGGGCAGGTGCCGGCGGGTTAGGTAGCCGTTTGCTACCGCGCAGCACCCAAAACCGTTCATTGGCCATTCTAGCAATTAAATTCATTCGCCATTCTAGCAATTAGCTGTACTACATGGGTTCAAACAAATAGCTAAGCCAATACTATAGACCTTGAGCATTGTTTTGGTAGAGCCGAACGTCAACGGGTTTTGGGCACTGCTTATTTGAGAGCGCTACCACTGCGCTTGCTTGATGAATGTGCCTGATGCAAAAGACGAGCGTTTAGCTTTGGGGCCAAAGACGGTTCTGAATCGCGACCAAAATTGGATGCACTCTGAGGCGATACTCAGTAGGTCGTGGCAACTGGCAGTTGAGGCAGCGATGTGCCCAAGCAACTTTCTTTCAGTTGCATCTTCCCTTAGACTAAAGACAGCCTGTGATTGTGTCAGCTACAGCCCGCAGGGGATCAGAAAGGATAGACTTGGACGCGGACTAGTTTCTGTGGCACTTTGCTTGGCTCTTTGCTCACTGCTGTTCAGAGTTTTGACCGCGCCAGAAAGAGCTATCAGGTGCCGGCGCAAACCTGTTCAGGTTCGGCTGTCGTAATCTGTTGGACTGATGGGTGCTGCTGCTACTTTTCTTGCAGACCGGTTCAGAATCCAAGCAGGTGTTGTTTGCTTCATTTGCTTTGCGGCGTCAGACCGTTGTGGGATGCTTGTTTCTTGGGGGTAGGGTTTCAGTTGAGAGGCTCAAGCCAGCATCTTGTGTGCCCAAAACCAACGCATCCTTGCGGTGCAGGAGTCCAAGTCTCGTGTTGGTGTGATCACCAGAACTGTTAGCAGCCCTTGGGCTAAAGGGATGGAAGTGGAGTAGTTTGCGTGGAACTCTGTGGAACATGTTTGGACATCAAAGATCGGCGAAGACCGGCATTATGCTTGGCCGTTCCTCTCAAACCGCTGAGGTCTCAATGGCTCAAAGCGGCCTGGCAGATGAGAAGGAGCGATCGATGCCTTTAGAGATGCTCTTCATATTTTTGGGCATGTGGCTTCGATTCTCTCGGGCAACATCGATTGGACGCGGCGCCCGAGCTTGGAGTCGCCTCGCGCCAGGCACCGATGATGGGACCAAGCAGCGAGCTGCTGGAGCTGCTGGATGCTATGTCCAAGGCAGCTTCCGAAACTCGGGCGATGCAACCGGCCGACCTTGCCTGCGCAGGTGCGCATGGCGCGACACATCTTGGCCTTGGTGGGCAAGAAGGAAAGCCAATGCTGCAGAGTTCCCCCCCCTCATTCCCGGTGAAGTCACTTCACACTTTCACCATGATTTTTTGTGGCAAATCAGCGCGGTGATGTTTTCAGAGGACACATAAGACACCTTGTCTTGCCCATGCCGTGCTTTTTCTTTGCTTCTGATATTGCTCATGCTCAGGGTACTAGTAGCTGGGAGGAGGGGGAGGCGGAGGCGGAATGGAGGACGAGGAAGGAGGGAGGAAGGAGCGAGGAGGGAGGCGGGAGGGAGGGAGGGAGGGAGGGAGGGAGGGAGGGAAGGGAGGGAGGGAGGGAGGAGGGAGGGGAGGAGGGAGGGAGGGAGGGAGGGAGGGAGGGAGGGAGGGAGGCGGGAAGGGACGCCAGTCCTTGGCTGCCCAGGATTTCAAGGACGAGGTGAAGAGGTGCAGCAGGCTATGGCTGGGCAGGGACCGACGGTTGTTAGGCAAACCATTATTTTTGGGGACCGCGCAGGGCTGACATGTAGCTTTGCGGAGATGCGCTCAAGGAGGTCTCGTGAGGCCTTTGCCTCCACAGCAACACCATCCCCAAGAGTCGGGCCGCTGCCCTGTGCACGACTCTGCGTCGTCACTGTTTCGCTCGTTTGAAGACAGTGCACTCAAATTGGCGCCAGTGCCACGGAAATTTTGATGTTTTGTGGATGTGAGCGCGTGGACATGGGCTTGGGACATTGGGGCCTGCTCTAGATGAGAACTGGTCGGCCATGTGGTTGGGTCGACAGCGCGTCGCCGGGCTCGACCACAAAAGTGTCCCAGAGTGCCCCATCGCTGAGTGCGTACGGCTCCCAAGCTGGTCAGTGTCGCTGTTAAGTGAAGAGATGGAATCTGTGGGCATGGTCAACAATGACACGAATCTCATCGTAGTCGGGCCACAACATAAAGCTTTCATTACGTCCAGACAACGTCAGGGTGTTTTGTGGGTGTGATTTTAGTCATAAAATCTGCCAAGTAAGCCGTGTTTGGGGTGAACGACCACGAGGTTGAACTATCATGGTAGTTGAGGATGAACATAGACCGAAAAACAATGCGCCCAGACAGATTATATGTATCATTGCATTGGTCTCATGTGAGCCATGTACGATGCTAGTGCGAAGTTCAAAAGTCAGATTTTGCGAGCGCCAGCCTTGCAGACGGTCCTCTTGAGCAGAGTGGGAGCTCGGATAGATTGGACACTGGCAAAATCTGGCTCGCTTCCCAACACAAGACCCATTCCCGCTATGCGACAACAATTGCAGCAGCAACAGCAGCTATGCTTTGGGTTGCCACTAAGCCTAAAGGGCTAAACAGCATACCCGTGATACCAAGTAGGGCCATTAAAGCTGCATTTTTGGACAGCCTCAAATGGCCCGAGGCCGACAGCAGCAAGCGCTGAAGCGAGGCAACCGACACGTCACGTTTATATGTAAATATAAACACCCTTCGGCCTGCTACTTTTAATCCACACAGTCCTGGACTACAGCAACAACCTTTCAAGGGCCTAAGATGCAGCCCCAGCTGCTCCGGGTTCAAGGGCGCTTTGTCGACATGGTGGTCCAAGCCAGCCGCTGTCGCCGCCAACAAATCGCAATTCAGCGTTTCGAGGCTCCCCCGCAAGTCCCGCAGAAGCAGCGAGTGCATTGCATCCTGTCAGGGCAACCGCCGCCAGAGAGGTGGCCGCCGGGCAGGCGTAGGTAGCCGTTTGCTACCGTGCAGTGGCGCCCAAAACCGTTCATTGGCCAATTTTTGCAATTAGTTGTTCTACCTGATTTGGATAGCAACGCCACATAACCTTGAGCATCATCTTGGTGGAGCCACAGTTAATGGGGTTTTGGGCGCTGCATATTTGAGAGCGCTAACGACTGCGCTTGCTTTGATGAATGTGCCTGATGTAAAAGAAGCGTCTAGCTTTGGGGCCAAAGAGGGTTCTGGATGCACTATGATGCAATACCCAGTAGGTCGTGGCAACTGGCAGTTGAGGCAGCGATGTCCCAATCAACCTTTTGTCAATTGCATTTCCCTTACAGCTACAGCCCGCAGGGGATCCAAAAGGATAGACTTGGAAGCTGACTAGTTTCTGCGGCTCTTTGCTGCCTCTTTGCTCACTGCTGTTCAGAGTTTTGACCGAGCCAGGAAAGAGCTACCAGGTGCCGGCACAAACCTGTTCAGGCTTGGCTGCCGAAATCAGTTGACACTTTCTTGCAGACTGGTTCAGAACCCAAGCAGGTGTTGTGTGCTTCTTCATTTGCCTCACGGCGTCAGTGTACCAACCCTTGTGGGATGCCCAATCTTGGGGTTGCTTTAGTTGAGAGGCTCAAGCCAGCATCTTGTGTGCCAATAACTGGGCATCCGTGCGGTGCGGGGAGTTGGCAGCCCGCGCATGGGCTATCCAAATGGAACTCAGTGGAACATTTTGGACATCACCCGGCGACGACCGGCATTATGTTTGGCCGTTCCTCCCCTAAACCGCTGAGGTCTCAATGGCTCAAAGCGGCCTGGCAGATGAGAAGGAGCGATCGATGCAAGTAAGTCAACCCACCGTGCTCGAGTTACTGGATATGCTCCTCAGGTGTTTGGGCATGTGCTTCGATTTTCCCTGGGACCATCGATGCCTGTCTTGGAAGCGCTGTGCGCCCGAAGTTTGGAGTCACCTCGCCAAGCAACGATGATGGGGTTATGATTGCTGAGCTGCTGGACGCCATGTCATGACGTCAAGCCAGCAGCTTAATGTCGACCGTGCTCGAGTTACTTTGGATATGCTCGTCAGATATCGGGCATGTGGCTTCGATTCTCTCAAGGAACATCGATGTGCTCATGTTTTGGACGCGGCGCCTGAGTTTGGAGTCACCTTGCACCAGGCAACGATGATGGGGCCAGCGAGCTGCTGGAGCTGCTGGACGCAATGTCAATGACATGACGTCCAGCAGCTCCAGCAGCTTAATGTCGACCGTGCTCGAGTTACTTTGGATATGCTCGTCAGATATCGGGCATGTGGCTTCGATTCTCTCAAGGAACATCGATGTGCTCATGTTTTGGACGCGGCGCCTGAGTTTGGAGTCACCTTGCACCAGGCAACGATGATGGGGCCAGCGAGCTGCTGGAGCTGCTGGACGCAATGTCAATGACATGACGTCCAGCAGCTCCAGCAGCTTAATGTCGACCGTGCTCGAGTTACTTTGGATATGCTCGTCAGATATCGGGCATGTGGCTTCGATTCTCTCAAGGAACATCGATGTGCTCATGTTTTGGACGCGGCGCCTGAGTTTGGAGTCACCTTGCACCAGGCAACGATG